ATTAATATAGTTTTGCTATTGCAGTTATTAAATCATTCGTTCGCAATTCAGTATTCTAAATATGAAAGATTGATCTCAGAAAACTGGCATTCAAAGGGTTAATCCTATAAACAGGGTTGTTTAACCCTTTGCCGATGAAAATTCTTTGAAATATTCAGAACCTTCAGCAGATAAAGTTGCATTATATACCAAATGCTTAATTAATATAAAAAAAGGAAACTAATGATCTCTTGCTGACTAAATCATTTGTCTGACTTAGTCTTCCAAATACGAAAATGTCATCTCGCCGAAATGTCGACATTCGTCAAAGAGTTAAACTTATAAACTTCGGAGTTACATATAGGAACACGATGACTCGTTTCAGCCTCATTTTTCAATACTAATAATTTTAATATTATTGTAGAATATTAAAATCACAGAGCTATCTATCTTTCTATTCAGGTCAACTTTCATAAATCAGTTCACAACGATGGATTACGAATTTCTTCGAGAGAAATTCAAATGGGAATCTCATTCAGAGATTAATTGGTAGTTAAGTTCTATAAATACAAATTCACGATGTAAATGGCGGGAATTCGTGAAAATGGAGGTTTTAGATATAAGAACCACGGTATTGAAGGTGTAGTTGTAGCGAGAGCCTCCCCAAACCCGCGTTTCGTTGCCTTTGCCATTCGACTCGGCTGTAAAGTCCACGACTGGTCTCAGGGCCACCACCACGCGTTCGCCAGAGAACAGAGAAGCGGCGAAAGAAAACGGCGAAAAAGTGAACTCGCGGCTGACTTTCAAAACGCGCTCATTTCGCGCGATATTTCACCATTGGTCGCGCGGAAATCGCTTAAACGCGTCGATCCGCACGCGCGGGAATATCTGTGCCGGCGACACTCGTCCTTGATTAATTATCAGCCCTTCCAATCCGTGCGATTAAATCGTACGTTTATCGTATCATTTTACACGATATTTCACATCGCAGAAATACGCGGTACGGGGATATTAATATGAAACAGGAGTTCCTGTACTTGTTAACACTTTTCTTTGTGATCTCCGCGAATATCCTCGTTGAAGCTCTGTTATCCTTAATAATTCACCGGGAAACATAGATTTTCTATGTTTATCGTAAAGCAATATTTACTAAACGTTAAATGTTCACCAGAGAGATAATATTTATTTAAGACTTCAAAGGGAAACGATATAGTTAGATTAGTGGTCAGTTTTTCGGTTATTAAACGAAGACTTCTCAGTTTTTCGAATGTTCTTTTGATATTGAAGCTGAATGTCTAATGAGAAATTTCTAGATTTCTTAACGTTAGAACTACTGAGTCGAATTGACATTTTCAAATTTGTCTATAGGAACTCTAAGAATGCAGCTACTGAAATTTCAATTGACTTATGATTCAATTCGCGTATTGCTGAATCAATTTCTTTAATTTTGCAAAAAAGCATCTGTTATCTTCTTAATAATTGGGAAAGGAAAATTTAGGAATGGGTCAATTTGACTCATTCAGTAGTTCTAGTGTTAAATTCTTTCCTATTTTCACCTTCTTCGATCTTCTTTATAGTTAACTCATATAAAACAAGGAATCATTGGTATTAGCTTATTGCTATTATTTATCTTTTTAATATTTGGCAATGGAGAATTCAGGAATGCGTCAATTTTACCCGTTAGGTAGTTCTAGTGTTAAATCCGGTCTCAAAACTTTATAGCGAGTCACACTTAACCCTTTGCACTCGAGAACTCCGGAGCAGAGCAATCTAAAATTTGTCATTGCAAACTGTAAAATTTTGTCATTAAATATATTATAACATTTATAATCGACAAAAGACAGTAAAATACATCTATGACTTTTCTTTTCGTCCCTGTGTCATTTATTTACGTTAATATGCTTTCTCTATTAAAATTACATCCAGTTACTGGTAAAGTCAATGAGAAAAAGCTTCGAGAGGCTTGAAAATTTGAATTGAAAGAAATATTGAATATTCAGTATTTCAAATTAAAATTATATTTTGCAATGTGAAATATTTAAATAAAACAGCATTGTTGCTTAATTTATCTGTGAATTGTTAAATTAGTTTCAAACAATGTCGTCTACATTTCATCAGAAAATGTGCACATATTTCTACTGAGAAACTTCCGAGTGCAAAGGATTAATTCTACGATCAACGAATCAACGTTCCCAAGAGAGTAATATATAATTTCTCCTGATTACGATGAAGTACAATCGGATAAGATCGAACCAAGCGTTCGCGATGTAGAAGTAAATCGATGCAGGCTATCCACGATAAAGAAAAATGAGAGAAGGAGCAAATCGGTCTCGAGTTAGGCACCAACGGCGTAACCTTGGACGCCGGTACGATAACAAGGATGTCTGTTATGCTGACGACGCATCTTCCACCGTAATCAGACTTACATATACCGCAACCGTCAACTACACGCGCGACAAAAATATGTACACGAGTGCAACGCCGGCAGGAGTTACGGTTCATCGAGGCCTTGCCGCGAAATCCGTTACCCAAGAGCCAGCGGAAAACCGCTGAACCCCGGTTTTCGTCGCCCAAGTGTCTCCCGAGCTGAAGGAGGAGCGGAATGTCGGGAAATAGATCAAAGAATCCAAGGCAACAAGCTAACTTCCCGTTGTCTCGTTCTCCCGCTAATTTCATTCGACGGACAAACGACATTTTTCAAGATAAACTGTATTAACCCTTTGCACTCCAGCTGATTTTCCAATCTACCAGCAACTCCAAGACAATTTTAGTCCTCGTGATAAATATGAAAAAATATAACGTTTCTTGGATTTTTTATGTTCTTAGGAAAAGATTAACCTTTTGCACTCGGAAATCTTTCATAAGAATTATTCAACACTCTCCAATAAGTTATAGACGATGTTCTTTGAAACGAACTGAATGAAAGAACATAGGTAAGTTAAGAAACAAAGTTATTTCAATATTCCACATATTTCTGGATTACACGAAGCTTAACCCTTTGCACTCGAAAGTTTCTCACTAGAAATATTTAACATTTTTTGACAACACAAAGACGATATTCTTTGGAACTAACTCGAATGGAAATCACAAGTACAATGAGGAACAAAGCTATTTTATTTCAGTATTTCACGCATCGAGACATTCAAAGTTCAACGTTAAATATCAGACTATAGTTTTACTGCGTCAAATTAAATGGTGACTGGGAGTCACCTCCCAAGTGCAAAGGGATAATATTGTGTAAGACTATAATTTTGGTATATCAAATCAAATGGTGATCGAGAGTCACCACTCGAGTGCAAAGGGTAAACATTCTCGGATACATCGGGAAATAGATCATAGAATCCAAGGCAACAATTCATTCGACGAACAAACATTTCTGAAGAGACGCTACATTGACATTCTTGCATACAGCATTGAACACTGTCAAGTTGCACTTTTAATATTATGGAATCTTTCATGAAAGAGTACCGAAAGTATAATATAAACATCAAACACAAAGCAAATGGAAGTTTCTTTCGCAACTAGCGTTGTCGCTGAGCGTTGTTTTCAAAATATCCACGACAGTTGTGAGAGGACTCTAATAACATATAAAGATTTCATCATTAGTACCGAGACAATCAACAATTTCCAATCTCTGCGTGTTTCATACACGATTTCGATCTTTTCCTAGATATCGACTATCAGAGTTCCCAGAGGAAGACGAGGAAACAGCTCGCAGTTGTTCTGCGAGCGCAAAAACTAACGTAACACGCGAATCCTGAGCACCGGTTCGCGAGACGAGCGGATTCATGGCTGAAAAGCGTCAAGGGCGAAACAAGATGCAGTGAATTCGGTCGGAAAGTTGGTCGTAACTCGACGTTGTCGCCGTTGCGAATTAAGAACTGGGCCCGGGCCGGCCGATGACAAAAGGCTGCGAACGGCCGGGCGAGATTTTTCGAATCTCGTGTGGCCCGAACGCCATAAGGCCCGATGGGGGTTGCCTGCCGTGACGACCCGCGGCACGCGTTGCTCTTTTTACTATTCGCCGCGTTCCCTCTCGTCCCTCGGTCTGCGCGCTGCTTTTATTTCACGATTTCTCTCCCGTTTCACCGAGTTGGACGGCCGATACACCGGCGGACCTACGGGCGAGCTGTCAATTTGGCAGCTACATTCGATTCAGCAACGAACCCTGACTCCTCGCGGCCGGTGAATCATTTCTAAATATTTCTCCGAAGGGGAAGGCGAATTGATTAGCGTCCTGTGATATTCGAGACGCAACCAGCAAATGGCTAGGCTAATGTTGGAGTTATATTGACGGGACCTAAATTGATAGGATTATTATAGACTTCGTCTATTAGGAGATCTTGACGCGTTGAACGCGAAATACGAAATGGAAAGAACATAATATTAAATTATTTTATTGAACTGGATTATTATACGTTCGTCTAGCTAAATCACTAGCATTATTTATAATATAACCTGTTCAGATAATCATTCGATCATTCGTGTTAAAGATCAGTAACAAGTTATTCTCAGTTTCCTTGATCTCCACAGAACTTCTATATCCCAAGTATCTCCTTAGAATTTGATTGAACTGGATTATTATACATTCTTCTAGCTAAATCACTAGCATTATTTATAATATAACGTGTTCAGATAATCATTCGATCATTCGACGTGTTAAAGATCAGTAACAAGTTATTCTCAGTTTCCTTGATCTCCACATCTATATCCCAAGTATCTCCTTAGAAAAGATGGCGAACTAATGGAGAATCAATCTCTTGAGTCATCTCAACGTCAAGCACAAGTAAGCATCGATGATGCATTTGTCTATAAGTAATAACCAACGACAAAGCAGCTACATATATCCAATTCCAACGAAGGCGATCCGAAATGATCAAAGATCCTTCCAGCGGAAAATAATGCCGACTCGGGGTAATTCGAACCGATTACGAATCATTCGGAATAGAAACAGCTAAGACAACCGGGGAACGCGTCATCCGCACGAAACGTGACAGATGGGGAACTAAAAGTTCACTCACGTTTCATGATGAGTCCCAGGGTATCCGGATCGTCACGTGGCCGCAGGACACTAGCACATACACACCGTCGGCGTAACGGCCGTTAACTCGGAGGTGTGAACTTTTTCGGGAAATGACGGCACCGTGTCATTTCTGTGGGCCGGCGTGCGACGGGTCAGAGGACAGGAGCGTTGGAACTTAAGGTCGTCGCCGAGCAAAACTAAAACTTCGGGCTTCAGTCGGGATCCCGGTGTTACATATCCCCCCCACCACCAGACCCCTTTTTAGTCATGTGGGAATTACATGCACGAGAATGGTTACGGATTTCACGTAAAGGGAGAGGCGTCTCTCTCTCTCTCCCTCTTTCTCTCTATCTTTCTCTCTCTCTCTTTTCCTCCCTCTTTCTCCCTCCGACTTTCTTTGTCGCCGCGTTCGGAGGCGAAACAAAGTCTGGAGGCGAGCGAGTGCCGCCTCCGCGCGCTGTCGCCGATCCCCCTGAAACAAAGAGAACATTTTCCTTTGTGGAAATGGCTGCGTCGTTCGTGCTTCATGACTCGACGCCTGATACGTCGAACTTCGAAGAAACGTTTCCCGACGGCTTTTACGATCCGCGGCCGGAGCGTGACAGGTTCTCGAAGTCGTCCAAGTGAAAACCAATGGGCAAATGTGGGGGAAGACCCGGAGAGAATTAGCTTCTCCGGGTTTCACTCGAAGTCTGCTTCCAAGTGTAGCATGGACGGTTCCAGGTAAATTATAGATGTGACGGATTCGGAGATTTACGATTTATCCTCGATTTGGTGTTTCAATTGAATGATTAACCCCTTGGCGTACTATGACGAGTCGGACTGATGAAGATTTCTATAGCAATTTAACTATTTTGCTGTTATCAATTTACTGTCTGCAAATGAAAGTTCCGTTTCAAGTAGAATTTGTTTTGTTGCATTTCTTCCAAATTGTCGATAGTGAAATGTTAGCCGAGCTTAGTAGCGAAAGTGAATAGTACGCCAAGGGGTTAAGTAGTTCATTTGTTAGATCCAGTGGTTTGTAGCTAAAATTAGTGAGGTTACTCCAGATAATTTGTAGCCTTGTTCGAAAATGTTTGTATCTTTTTCATCAACTGGGGAATGGCTACTGACATTAAGCTTAAGGATTATATATTGCACAAGTATAAAGAAAGAATTAAAGAAAAAGGACTCATTATATTAAATCGATAGTATCAAGTGGAAATTGGGGGTGCTCAGTTTCACAGTGCCAATACGCGAGCCACTGGTTAACGCTAGGCTTACGGAACGCGTCAATTCGACGCAGATCGAATGTTATAAACATTATTTGGTAAATGTTTCAATCGGTTTCCGTTGATCCAATTATACGAACATGAATCCTGATTGTCTATTTTTACATCTACAATTTCCATGATGGAGACGCAATTTATGGGAATTATAGTCGACTTTTGTAGAAAAATTCTTTATATTATACAAAACGTTCAGTAGATAAAGCCAAATTATACGTCGAATGCTTAAATAATAGAGAAAAAGAAACTATACGCCGATCTTCTGCTGTTTCGCTAAACCATTTGTTTACAACATTGTATTCCAAATATCAAAGTTTGATCTTGTCAAAACGTCGACATTAGTCTCGAAGGTTTAAAGGTTAACCCTTCGCAGACGAAGAATCTTTGAAATCTACAAAGCCTTCAGCAGATGAAGCTAAATAATATACCAATCACTTAAACAATAGAAAAACAGAAACTACGTGATCTCTTGCTGATTAAGTAATCAAATAATTCACCTACAACTTAGTCTACTATACATGAAACTTTCATCTCACTTTAAAGGTTTACCCTTCGCGGACGAAGAATCTTTGAAATCTACAGAGCCTTCAGCAGATGAAGCTAAATTATATACCAAAATCTAAATGAACGAATATCAACTTCCCCAGGAACAATAGAATAAACTGTACAATGCCCATAAACCTAGTGTTAAATCTCACTGTTGAGATTTAAGCATATAGATCTCACTATTGAGATCTAACCATTTACTCACAACTGAGATCTACCACTTTGCCTTTTTAGCAAAAGCGTGTCGATTGGAAACATGGGAAATAATATTCCCCGAGACGTTAAAATCGCGAAATAATCGCGATCGCGCGAATGAAGAAGGAGAGAGGAATCAACGCGTGTGCAAGTAGCACGCGTGCAAATTATTTACTTGTTGCGCCGTAAACGAGCGCGATAGGTTCGTCCAGTTCCCTGCGATCGCGCTGTAAATCCCAATGGGGATGAACACCGTCCACGGTAGGAGGTCCGCCGTAGGAAGTATCGAATGTCGTGTTTCTACACATGTCGAAACGCTTAAGTAGTCTTCACCTATCCGGCCACTAAACCGACCGTGTAACAGCTGGATAGTTTGCGGCCCCTCTGATCCCGCCCGGCACCGGACATTTGCCGAAATCCATCTGGGAAACGATCGTGATCGCTTTTCCGAAGTTCGCGCCCCCGAACGAGGAAACTTTCGCGGTGAACAGGAAAAAACACCCCGGAAGAAGAAGACGTTACTGTATTCTCGTCAATCTTTTTCGACCACATCGAATTACTATAATTCATTCGATTAAATGATGATTATTTGACAGCTTTTCTATACTATAAGTTATACGCAATGACATTCAACGAGATAAAGCTGCAATAATCATTTGATCCAATTATAATTATAATCTATATTATAATTACATTCCTCAAACTCATAAAATTTCCATCAGTTTAATAATAACAATAACTTTATTGCGAAATAAACATTACTTCACTGAATTTGTATTACGATATAAAGTTTATTTGTGGATGTTATGATATGAACGTTAATTTTGTACTAAAAAATTTTCCCTCCCAGATTATTAGATGTAATAATATAGACACGTTTCGAATGATTTACTACGAAATAATCATTACTTCATTGAATTTGTACTGTACGTTACGATACGAAGTTGATTTATTTGTAGATATTATTGTATGAACATTGATTTATCAAAAATTTTGCCTCCCAGGTTAGAAACCGTTGGTCCAACGTCAAATTGCCCAGCGCGACTGCGTCGATGAGGAACAAAACGAGAATCAGCTTATCGAAAGTTTACGTATTCGTTTCGGAGGCTCGTAAAACCCGTCGATCGACCTTTCGTAATGGCGACGGTTAAAAAGGAGTAAAACAGAGAGCAGCTTTGTGTCTCGTCACGCGAGAACCCCGGGCGTAAACGCGGCCCGCGATACGACGTCGACGTAACTTTTCGAAACGAGAAAGTGGCGAGACGAGGCGAGAAAGTGGGAATCAGAGGGAGAGGGAAGAAAACGCCGAGGCGTAAAAGTTTGCCGGTGTCGGTGACTGTCGGGTTTACCCCTCCGCGAGGGGTGATTTGTGTAGGAACGCGGTTTATGGGCGCCCGTATTTGCTCGCCCGGTCCCGGGCGTTGAACGGCCAAGGCGTGATTTAACGACGTCGACAAATTTGATTTGTTTCCGATACGATTGCAGCGACGCGAGACTAAATAAATTTTTGGCTCGCGTTTAATTCTGGGTCGCGGGACGGGAGCCGGGCGATAGGACGCGAACGCATGGGGAAAATTCAGACGGTTCCTGGAGGGATAAGGAATTTTCTTCTGACGTGAGAATGTTGGTCATCCTTGTGACGTTACGAACTTGGTTAACTTCAATCACATTACGAATTGGATCATTTTCTGTTTATTCCTTTACCATCAAAGATACTTGGACATTAACCCTTTGCGAACGACTGTCGACGTTTGAGATGAAAGTTTCATGTATAGTAGACTAAGTTTTATGTGAATTATTTGATTACTTAATCAGCAAGAGATCACGTAGTTTCTGTTTTTCTATTGTTTAAGTGATTGGTATATAATTTAGCTTCATCTGCTGAAGGATTTGTAGATTTCAAAGATTCTTCGTCCGCGAAGGGTTAACCTTTAAACCTTTGAGACGAATGTCGACGTTTTGACAAGATTAAACTTTGATATTTGGAATACACACAAAAGATCGGTATACAGTTTCTTTTTCTCTATTATTTAAGCATTCGACGTATAATTTGGCTTTATCTACTGAACGTATAATATAAAGAACATTTTCTACAAAAGTCGACTATAATTCCCATAAATTGCGTCTGCATCGCACCAATACAAAACTAGTCCGTTTCATCGTTGAACACACCGCAGACAAAGGGTTAATAATGAGAAATGAAGTTTCAAGTGCTTCTTTCGCAGAGAAGAAACAAAGGATGGGAAATATAGTTTTCGATGTGACAAATATAGAATCTTGTTTCGATCCGATTCACTCTGTAATCTGATTCGCCTCGGTCTACCCTATTACATCGATAACGTTGCGTTTAACTTGCTGGAACGATCGAAGAATTTAGTAGCTCCTAGCGGAACGACGCCTCGATCCTGAATAGTAAACACAAATAGATTTCTACGAACTCTTCCCGAGAAGTATAAGGTATTTTCGGAGGTATCACGTTTTGGAGCTGAACGTCGGAATTACCTAAGAATTGTTTACGCACGTGCCAGGATGTTGTACGCGCGCACTCGCGCGGTTGGTACAATGATTGCCGCGGGTTTTACAATCTCGCTATTATTAGCTAAGTGGACCTATTTATTTTACGAGTTGTCCTTACTGCTAGAGCTGCCGTACCAGTCGAAACTACTGGTTCCAGTTCTCTTATCTCGCGATCATCGATATCTTCAATTATTAAATATCCGGAATGAACTTCAAAACAAACATTCTCACTCCGATATCACTATTACAATTAATAATCTACATTTTCTTACTGGACACTCTCACCCGAAATCCAAGCTTCAATGTAACAATCCCAGTTACGAATGTATCAATTCATGATGATGATGAAGCATCATCACCACATCAACATTCAACACTCGATAATTCTACAATCAACAAATAACCTTATACCCTCCGTTTCGTCGGCATGCTCCGGATTCTCAAATTCCCGTATCATGTCTCACAAGCGAAGAATGTTTGATTTTTCAATCCTACGACTAGATCATCCCTCGCAGTACACATAATGAAATCCTCTGGCCCGTCTACGATCAAAATTTACTGCCTCTGTCCCCGGTATTAAGGGATGATTTGTGAACGAGCTAAAAACGACGCTTAAGTCCGGGACTTAACCTCGGCTCCATATTAGAGATACCGAGCGCCGGCGAAAGAAATGATTCCGAAAACACGCCGTAACTGTTCGGAACGGAGTAACGGGGAAAAAAGCATCGGCGGAGGCTGTTAAAGCGAGATTTACGCGTTCCGAGACAGCTGCGCGTAGGCATAAGTCTCGCTCGTCCCGCGGGCTACGGAAGGGTACCTCGCAGGACGCGGAAAAGGATCACGTTCGGCCGCCGGACATTTTCCCGACAAATGACTTCAGGAAACGACACGCCCCCGTTCCAGGCTGCGGCGGCACGTAACGCGCGCGTTTCTGTTTACTTTAACGGGCCGCGGACCCGCCAAAAACTGGATGCGTCGCGTTGCATCCGTTCACGCGCCCCTGCCGACTCCAAATAGGCGGCGGTGCGTCCCCGTTCGTTCGGGCATTATCCCGGCTTCAACCCCTTCCGCGGCCTCGAGGCGGGAATGTTTTCGTGAACGACGCGTCGGGATACTTAAGCGATTAGGGCAGAACGTCGGACGACCGTGAAAAACGACACGCGTCGCTGCGACTCGTTAACACTTCGGTCGGCAGACGAATTTCGAGATATGATTCTCTGCGATTCGAAAATGAAGGTTCACTCGGCGACTCTGTTGAACTGAATTTCTGTTGGAATAGATGCAGAAGGTCAATGTTTGTGGCTTTTTATAATTAGACATCAATTGATTCTAACCCCTTGGCGTACTTCGCTAAGCTCGTGTATTACTGTCGACAATTTGGAAGAAATGCAGGAAAATTTTCTGTTCTTCAAGTGGAAATTTGAAGATAATGCATTGACGATAGTAAAATAGATGTTTGCTTGACAATCTTCGTCGCGAGTCTCGCTCATTGTACGGCAAGGTGTTAATGGTGATAGTGTAACATTTGAATGCTCGGTTAGAGTAGGTTTGAAAGAGATGGAGTTCGTGTTACGCGTTTTAGAACGATGAATCATATTTGTGTTACGACATAATGCTATACAGGGGCCCAGAAAAGAGTTTAAAGGGAGGATACCGATGTATCGGGAACAGTTTCTCAAGGAACTTCGGAAAAAAGGGTGTGGGACTCGTGGGTCTCCCATAGGAGGCTATGCGGGCACCGTAACGTAATATTCGGATACATTCGACGGATATAGACGAACAATTTGCCAGCATTCTAACGATTGGCTCGAGTTTCACCTGTGTAACTAATCGTCGAGTGTTTTCCGATTCGCAGCTAACCCTTTTTTTCACAGATTATTCTGTCAGAAGATACGTATCGGAATCTTCCAACCGAATAACGGTGGTCGAGGTCGACGAGAGGGACTGCGTGGAATGTGTGAAACGCAATGCAGTGTTCGAAGTGAGTAAAATGACACACAAGAATCAATCTGTATGAATACGAAATAGCATAAATACGCAGCGATGAATTTAGGCGTCTGTGTTTTCTACGTTTCAAGCTGTTTGTAAGATTTCCAAGGGGTTCGAAGCGTCTACAGTGATTTAGGACCATTAATCTACGAACCTCTGGCTAAAATCATGCCCTCTCCGGCATTTCACCGGGGAGATGACCAATTACAGTTCTCCCTCGGCGCGGAAGTGATTTCGGCGGCAAGAACTTCGAAACCGACGCACACTTACCATCCATCATTATTGTCATTCCCGCGTTAATTAACTCCGCCGGCTACATCATTCCGCGTGATAGTCATTCACGCGTATCTTCAGCCGTCGATCGACATCGATATCATCGAACTTTTACGGCCAGCTCCAACGACATCAACGATAGAAGATAAATGTTCGTTATCGATAAAGGAATTCGATAAAATACAACGATCGCCGAGCAAAATGTTCCGTTGGCCTCCACTGAAGTTCGTACGAAAGAAAGATTATTATCCACTGATCTGTCACTAGAAGTTCCCAGCGCGTTCCTCGCCTATCTTTCACTTCTCTTCGCGCACTTCACACCTGGCCGACGGAACTCCGTCGGAAACAGACGTGTTCACTATTCCCGGTACGGTAAAATTCTCGGCGATTACTCGCGATTACTCTCATATCGAAACAATTCTACAGCCGAGCATCGAACCGTGTACGATAAAACTACAATTGTTCCGATATTAAACGAACGCTAGCCAAAAACAGTAATCTGTCCCTTTGCTATGAATCCAACGAATCTCGGATTTATCATTCAAGTTCTTCAATCATCACCATTCATCCGACCGTCGCTGGATCCCCGTCGATCGACGATTTCGCAAAGTTCGCCCGAAAAATCAACCCGGTGCCTGACGGTCCACTGTCGAAATCGCGCGCGTCGGCCCCCTAGAGACGGGCGAGCCCTCAAAGATGGCGCGGCGTCTTTTTTCATCCCGGGGAGGATTCACCTCGCGAGATCAATTCATTGGACCGTGGCTGCACGTGTGTACTATTAAAACAGTGCCGTACGCATTTAGGTATACAACTGGATGCACGGTGCACGCTGGACTCCCCGTCGAGCGTGGACCACCGTCCCTCCAACCTGCTACCCTTTCTTCCGTCTTTCTCGCTCCCTCTATCCTCATTCCCTCCCTCTTTTCGCGTGTCTCCGCGGCTGTCCCGGCGCGCGCCTCCCTCCCGTCCCCGGATCGCGATCCTGGAAAAGCTTCCGCGGCAGAAACGCAGCCGCATAAGCTCCGTAGTTGCGACACTGTCAATGATTTCTAACGTAGGCGGTACTTAAGCCCCCCACCGGCCACCCTCGCCGCGAAGCGACGCGATAAAGGCTTTCAAACGGGGTAATAGGGAGACAGTGCGTCGACCCGTCCCATCCATTGGTCCGTTTTTTTCGGCTAAACGCTGAAACTTTGGAATCGGCAGCTGATCGTACGCTTATCGATCGCAGAAGCGTCGACCGGACCGAAAGATTCGAGCAGACAGCAGAATTTTCGTTATGAATTAACCGGGGTGCAGATTGAGAGCCACTGAACTATGTGTTACACGAAAGCATTGTTATACATCTAGATAACGCCTACCGACTCGATTGGTCGGCTGGGTGGTCCCAATTGGCCACGCCCACTCGCGGCTCTATATACTTATCCCCACCGCGCCGATCGCGCCAACACAGCTAACGCGAATACACTTTCTCCTTCTCGTTCCGTTCGACGGTATAACCATGTCGTCGGCTGCCTCTGTCGCCGGTGTCCCTCGCCCGGCCGTGTTTCTCTCTTTAATGCTCCTGCGCAACGCGCAACTCGAGAGCCGCTCGCTGTCCGTGTGCGAGCCCGCGGGAATGGTGTGCGTTTATTCGCACTTTTTTGACCACCCGGTGGCCCAAGGGTAAGTTTCCGCTCCGTTCTCCATGTAAATTCTTCCGGCCCCTCTTTATTACTCCCGGCTCGACGTTTTTCCACGAATGGGTGCGCAATGAGCGTGCACTTGAGATACTCGATTTACGGGAATGGTGCTACGATGGCTGATATCGCGCGATACTGGGATCGGTATTAGCCCTTTGCGCTCGAGAGACGATCGTCGTTTGACTTGATATAGCGGGACTGTAAAATTCGATGTACAGTATTACATTCTGTGCGGTGAGAGTAATTACATCTGAAATATTGGAATGAAATGGTTGTTTCTTGATTCGTATATTGTTTTTATTTGACATTAAAACTACCGAGTTCAGTTGACTTTTTGAAATTCCTCTTAGAAACCTCATGAACGCATCCATTGAGACTTCAGATGATTTTCAATTCAGTTCGCGCATTGCTACATCAATTTCTTTGATAATTTCTCAAGAAACGTCTATTTTCTTTTTTATACGAAAGAAAAAAATCAGGAATGGATCGTCCTGATTCGTCAGGTAGTTCTGGTGTTAATATTGGAACGTTCAGTTGACATTAGAAAATGATGAACATCTAACAAGAAATCATCGAGTGCTAGGGGTTAAGAATTAAATCAGCTACCTACGGTTCATGTGATTTTGCTGTAATAGATTTGTTTAAAAATGTAACACACTGAAATGTAAATAAAGTTACAATTCGTATTTCGAAGTTCCATTCTTGACAGTTTTTATTTATTGATCTTCCTAAGCGTGGATATACTGAAATATTATTTTAACTCTATCAAACGGTTCATCGGAATCAATATGAAGCAACAGATTCCCATGATTGTTTTTTCTATTGGGTATTTCAACAAACAGTGGTTATACTCACGGAATGTTTCGTGTGTTTATTTATGCGATGCTTGTAACAAGCCCGAAAATTCTTGTTACGGTTGTATTTTTAATAATACGCGGAAATGTGCACGACCGGCAGGTAGCCAGCAAGATTTTACGACATGAAAATCGCTTCCAGATGTTGGTCATTTTGCGATGGACCGTGGCCTATTCGGCGCAACAAGTTCTCACGCCAAAATTACTATGCCACCACACGAAAACTCGCAGCAGAAATCTGTAACTGGACGTTTCCAGTTTCTCCCTGGTCGATTTGTATTCCATTGACGTGCCAAATAGCTTTATTATATTTGTCCTTCCCCATGGAGCCCATCTTGCTCTGTTCGAATGTAAGTTCGTTTTGAATAAAAAATTGTAAAAATATCATTTTCATTAAGTGATTCGGAGTAACTATTTCTATTTACGATATACTAATTATAATTAAATATATTCTCGATGTCTAATGACTGAAATTGTACGTAATATTATTAAATTGATAAAAACATCTTTTCTGTCATATTCAACTAGACATCTGAGTTTTACTAGTGGATCATGGATAAATTCTGTGAGTTTCTCTTTTTGGCGATAAGACTTTCAATTTAAAGTCAACGAAATTTCAATACAAATGATTCTTACTGTTTTAATTGTAAGATACACGGTAAATGGCGGCAAGAAGTTTGTTTAAAATTTCTTCTTTCGACTGCTGGCGCCATCCGTGGCAAAACGCTGAAACCTGTCGTCGAATATTCTCATTAAAAATAGTAGATAAAGTAGACAGCAATCTTTTGCAGTCGATACATGTTCTTTTCTATTTTTTTTCAAGAAAAATAACAAGTACAAAATGATGTGTACAGCATTTACATTTGTACAAAGGAATTTGTAAAGATCATTTTTTGCTACGTGTTCGTGGAGGCGTGACGAAAATCGGTTGACGAGTCGTTAGGAGTACACGACGAGCATCCACGTTCATCATTTGTCCGTACGATTTCCGGAACGCTGCGTGTACGTTCCATTCGAAAGTCCCCGTTTTCATCAGTTTGAATTTCGTGAGCTGCCGTGTCTATGTGTTTCCTCGAATGACTCGATCGTAGTTTCGAGACTAATTTACCATCTCCAGAGTAATGAACAGGATCTTGACAGTTCAATGATTTCGCGACAGGCACATTATTTTCTACGTTATCCATATCGAATCTGACAAAACGATGAAAACAACAAATGCATTCCTATGAAAGCTTAAAAGGTAGATTAGGAAAAGATCTTTTCATTACTGAAACGGTAGCCATTTTGTTCTCTCTTTATTACACTTTCCTGAACTTCGCTCGGTCAATTTGGCGATAATCTTAGCGTCCACGTTAATTAATTTTGGCTTCTGTATACCGCTCTTCAGCTTTTCTATATTTAACACGAGATGCTGTATTTGCATCTTGAGCGTCGCGTTTTCATGAACCAATCGAGCATTCCTTTGTACTACCTATGAAAGAACAAACGGTACTTTGGGCATGGAATTATGATTAACGAATTAATCGAGAACATTAGCAGGTTACAATTGTTCCAAGCGTAATTCACCTGAAGAAGTTTGGCTTTACTCAGTGGCAGAGGTTCTTGAAACTTATCCGATACAATGATATTGAGTTCCCCCCTTCCTTCGTCCAACTTTTCCATCATGTCTGCCATTACTTGCAGATGCTCTTTCAATAGCTGATCCAATTTCTGCCTCAACATATCCTTCGCATACTTCATCCGTAGAAATTTTATACACAAATTGTACGTTGTTTGAGCCTTTTCGGTTAACTCTTCCTTGAGGGACCTGTTTTCCTTTTCCAAAGATTTTTGCACGTCGAAATCCATTCTCTGCTGGCAGAACTTCGACGTCCCACCAGCGGATCTCATCTTCTGCCTCTGTAGTTCGTCATTGAAATGATCCTTCTCCCTTTGATAGAAGAACCTTTCGTCGTCCAACTGCTCTAAAATGAATTTGGTACATCTGAAGGTTACACTAAACCTATCGAACAATTTTCCACAAGCCTTATTACGTTTGATGTTCCTAACGGATCTCTGTTGTTTCTTCAGCTCGGCCGATAATCGTTCGTTGTCTCGTCGCGTGTTCTGGAGCTGTACATCTTTCAGTTTTATAGTATTCTCTAAAGATAGAACTGTCTCTGTCAGATTCGACACCTTTTAAATTATAATCACCTTTTATTGGTTAATCATTAATCCATAGAATGACTGAGAATATTCTACCTGCCGCCGTAAATCTATCACTTCTTTATTGACAATTTGGCATTGTGCACTCGTACAAGGAATCGTCACGTCTGTACATTTATTCAAACTAGCCTTTGAACTGATATGCTGCATATCATAATAGTAAGAGTTACGTACTAACGACGAGGCGTCTGTAAATTAATTATTCGGTTTCCTAATGTACACTACACTGTCATGTTTATGAATACATAATTACAGAGGATGGCTTACCGTAATTTACAAATAAGAGTTAATTATCGAATTTACAAAGTTTGTTAGGTTGTGTTTATTCACAGATTCAGGGCTTTTAATGGGAGGGTACAGCGGATATACTTTTTACAAACTAAAAATCACCGCCATGTTTTCAAGCGTCACTTCGAGAACCGTGGGAACAATTAATTTCTTCTATCGAGTCACATAATGACGAATAATTACTTTCGTCGAATTATCAGCAGCAGTAAATTACCTTAACAAAAGACAGACGTTTATATGTAACTATATAGATCCTTTTAACCTACTTAGATTATTTGAACATTCACCCTTAAAAGACAGACTCAGTGCGATTCTTTATTTAGATCACATCAGACTATAAAAATTTCTTCTTAAAAATTAATCTTGATCGCAGATTAATTCGATGAAACGGGAAAGGAACAACTGAAGAAAAGTTACATCGTGCAATACTGATTAAAAGTTGTGAAATTTTTTATTGTATCGTATATGTACAAAATAGGTGTACAGACTACTTATCAATCGTACGGGCGTGCTTTACACACGCGTTACATATGCATTTACCGCATATAACACTGATGTAAGAGCATCACATTGTGTAGTACACCTGTAACCCCCGCTTCTGTTATCTTTCATCAAATGGAATGAATGTCGAGATGACGCGTAAATATGTTTCTTTCTTTTCATTGAATTCTGACCTTATCATTGAACCCCCCCACCCCCCTCTTTACAATCATTAATAACATTCTGGTGTAAGGGCTTCCGTGACTATTACCCTTTCCCCCATCTTGTACACACGAAAATAATAAATTACACTGGAACATTATCTTCGCAATTGATGTTACATTTTTCTCTGGTTTTCAAGGGCGTAGTAATTTGTTTTCTGAATCGCGTTTACATGGCTACATTAGAAATAGGGTATCACCGCGTATCACTGGAAGTGCTTCGCTGTGTGAACACGGTACTTCGGAGAAGAAAAAGGAAACAATATGAATACAGCTCACTGCATGTCCATTCGCGCTTTCCACTAATTTTATTAACAACAACTGGGCCAAATGTTCCACGCAGACTTGAACCCCGTGTTCCTTCAATTATCTCACAAATCTCTCATCTTTATTTCAAAAAATGATTTTATTATTAATTTCTTTATAACAAGGTGAAACAAGTTATTGTATGCGATCGGCTCTCAGAAGAATGCCCTCTTTTTAACTCCATAAAATTTTGTCAAAAAAATAACTTTTGATTCACATTTTTCTTAATATCCCATAGAGTTTGTCTAATATGTTTTAAGGGTCATTCCTCTAAGGCATTTAGAGAGATATTATGGCTATACATGTCCCGCGGAAACACTAAGTAGATAAAAATTTCGTTATCATCTCTTAATAAAAACTATGTACTACGCAATTGAAATGTAGTTTTCATGGACCAATAAAACTGATATTCCGCTCGAATTATGCGATGTAAGAATCTTCCTAGTACTTCATTGGTCCAGTTGTGTCGTAGAAATGTGGAAGGCAACGTTTGTCGATAATCTGATGAAACGATACTAGATTCGCATAAATGCGGATGATAATGATGGACTTACGCTTATTAGCCTAACTTAAGAGTTTGTTGTATTTCCATAATATTAAGGCTCGTGCTTATTTTTTCTTGTTCTTATTAGCTTGATTTTTGTATTTGGCTGCAGTTGTTAATTTGGCATTTTTCTTCTTAGGTTCGTCTTCATCGTCTTCTTCATCATCAGGCTCCTAATATATTAAAATCAGAAAGAGAATATAGCTTTGTAGAAAGTAACTATTAATAAATTTGCGGAATACAAAATTTTAGCGCTAAAAATGCAATACAAAAAGCTGGATACTTTCGTTATTAAAAATAAAAGATTGTATTACTGACATCCTATAGTACTTGTTCTTTTTTAACAAAACGATTGTAACATAAGAATGGAAAATGAGGAACCAAGATGAATAAAGAATAAAAGCAATTGTTTAGAAATGGGATGATTTATTATGCAAAAAGGAAATAAAACAGACACACATGGAATGAGAACACAAACGCAGAAAGTATATCCACGACTTTTTTTTATTCCTTAGACAATCTTCAGAGCCCTCCCTCCCACGAATCGTAATATTAAAGTAACGTCACTTTAAAATATTCTTGATAAAATTCATATTTTTTTGGAGGATATTTGTATAGCAGCATTCTAACATTAGCATTCTATTTGTCTACAGCTTCATCCATCCTGGCACGCTTGGTGCCATTTTTTTTACCCTCTGCAGAATGCTTTCTTTTCTTTTGTTGTGCCTGAAATTCGTATTCCTAATATGTAGAAAACGATATACTATTGCTTCTAACAACATACAGTAAAAATATAGTAAACACTATGAATTTTAAATGTTTATATGCATTCAGATACGACCTTTATCGAAAATATTCTGCATAATTTTCTCATATCTTATGGTTTTCATAGAGGTTATTCAGAATGTCAGTTACAAATACAATCTCCTTAACAGTAGATTTTAACGTGAAATAGTATGCATCTCTTTAGTTAGTTTACTTTCACTAGTTAATAATTAAATTGTACCTTATCATCATCGTCATCATCAATGTTCTCCTCCTCCATTTCATCATCCATATCATCAAACTCTTCCATATGTGTACCTAAAAAATTGAAGTCAATCTAATATTATTTAATTTTTCAATTTTAAGAAATTCTCTATTCCTCCAATGAAGTACTACTGTGATTTCAACAAATTAATAAACTTCTAAAGGTATACATCAACCGATTAAACTTCTATTAAAACTTTGTTCATATCTCGCTTAAATACATGTTGCATAAATTATTATTCATCATTTATTACATCTAACATTAGAACAAAATTCAAAAAAATTTAATAAAACAAGGCGTCCAGTTATAATTATCGCCCTTCCAAGTATACTTCAATAACAATAGAACACAGATATCGAATACAAAGAATCTATTTTATATTAGAAATATTATATCGTACAGTATAATCATTTGAGCCCATTCTTAATTATTCTATACAATTTTCATTACTCGTTACGATATACTATAACAGTAATATGAATAAATGCATCCTTACCAAGAAGATTATGGCCTACTATGTGAACAGGACCACTGCCTTTAACCAAAGTGAATGTGACTGGAGGGTCAGGAAAACTGAGATCTAGAATGATCTGTGCTGTTTTTCCCATTTCCAGCAAAGCGATCGGTGTTTTAATGGGACCCTTCAGCCCCATTGCTTCTACCTGTAGTACATTGAGCTCTCCAGGTTTAGCTTCTGGTCCTAAAAGTGCCTATAACAACAGAAACAAATATTGCATTCATCTTCCACCCCAGGAGAAATAAACATACTACTATCAATGTAACAGGTAATTCCATTCTAAAAAAAAGCTACCTATCAGATTTCCAAATAAATAAATAACACCTACAACGCACAAACAATTACGTTACAGATGTTCCAATATTTCAATAAAATCATAAGGATTTTCCATATACAAATGAATTCGACTGTATAATTGATGAACGAATTCTTAATGTGCACTTCATTTGAAGACCAACGTTCAACGTTTCGACGTTTACGTTTCTCGAAAATTCCCCGAATAAAGTGGGGTTAACTGTATCCCGAAACCCGAAAAAGTATAGGTTATAATAATGTCGAATTTGCGGCCTCCTCTATCATGGTTAAAAATTCGCGCGCAAACGTAACTAGAGGTAATGAAAGCGCACGAAAAAATCGAGACAACCAGTGACGCCAAATATTGGCCGTATATTCTTACACGGTTAATAGGAATGCTCGCAAAGATACGTTACGCGTTCAGAAAAATCAGAGAAGGCTAGGACGAGCTAAATCGAACGTCTACATCATGGATCGGAAGGCAAAACTTGTAGCCGACTAAATCGTGCGTCAACGGCGATCGTAATGGTAGAATACGTAAAAATTTTTTGGGTAAACGATGCACACGCGTCGCGTCGGGAAGCGTCGCGATATAACGCGAAAACTCGAATTATACTAGGTATACATTCCAACGGCTATAATGGACTTACCATTTTTATAATAAGCTTCTGATCGGCACCGAAATGTTGGTTCGTGCCGTCTGCGTCGTCGTTCTTGTGCTCTGGGTCCCATACTTCGCTGGAATTGGCTCCTTCGAGGGTGATTCCTGGACACACAAATCACGAAAGTACGCACACAAAATATCGTGAATGCTTGCCGTCGCGGTCTACTTTAAGAAAAAACGCGAGTTCATTCGTTGATCAAGGGGACAATGGGGACTGGTCACAATGGCCGAAAGGCAGCCGGCGTCCCGACTGCTGTACCGCTCGCGTCGAATGGCCAACAACGTCGAAAGTATCCGCGTGCGCCACAAAATAATCTTGCCGCGATGCTCACGATAACACGATTTCTGATATTTACCGTAGAGATATTCCTCCGCCATGACGATCGGTCTGATATTAAAAGATTCCCGGTTAAGCGGACGTGTAGAGAGACCCCTTTGGAGTGTGCGTGCCGAACGAGAGTGGAGAAGCCAAAGACGCCGCGCGCACAACGGTCACTGCGCGAAGAACAGTGGTCGCACGTGCTAGACGAACGCGTAGCAAATGAGTTTCGCGTACTGAGCCTTGCGCGCCTAGAATACGTTCTTCGTTTTGATTGGCCGGTGTGTCTTAAACCAACGCGCGCAACGTTGCCGATCTTAATGCCGTTGAACACCACTGAGGGCTTTATTAGGGGTGTTTTTTACCCCTCCGTGTAATTTTGCCTTGTAAAGAACAAATAAAATTGGATGTGAAATAAAGCGGTCGTAATAAAGTATTTTGTACTAGTGACATTTTTATTTTACCTTTTTGTCATCATTGTTTAGAGATAACGCCCGAAACTCGGTTGAAAGTGCCATTAAAATCGACACCTGGTGTCGATGATTATCGTTGTGTAATTAATGACGACGCTAGGAAGTATGCTGTATGTGGAATTGTTGGAGAGATAATGTGAACTATAGAATTATTTTTTGTTATTTAGAATTGAAGAAATATGGTTTAATAATTGTGATTTATGTATTTATGGAATATTAAATAGTATCGACGTTAAATAAGTTTAATATATTAGCATATTTGTTATATTTTAATGGTAGAAGAATATAAAAGTCGATTTCTTTAAATGTTTCGGTATTTTATGATAATTTAAACAAATATTTAATGAAATATGTTAGAATTTGAATGGAATATTTGGCAACGTTGTGTCGAGCGTTCATTGGTTCACGTAAACTCTGGTGGTAAAAACATGAAACAGACATTGACACATTGACTGCATAAATATCGGGCGCAACACGTGAATAATACTAAAACTGAATAAAAGCGCGATGAGAAAGTCTTGTAGAAAAATCGAAGATTGGTTACGATAAGGCTGACGCAATTTAGTACAAAAGTTAAACGATTTCCCATAAAAAAAGTCATTGGCATATCTTGAGATAAGTTGTAGCCCTCGGTAGACAACAGGAACTAGTCAGAATGCGGCTCATAATTATTCTCTCTTGTTTGTATTTATTGCCGGCAATTTTCGGTGATGATGAAAAAAATGAAACAATATTTGTGCCAACCCGGGAATGGCAAGTCGTCAAGAAAGGTGAGTAAATACTTATTCATAAGATCTTTAGAATTCCGATTTTTGGGACTACTTTTTTACGCAACTGATTGTACTCTTCCTAAGACCACGTCAGTCAAATTTGACGTCGCGCGTTTCTCCGAGAAGATACAGTGTTATTATTATCTTATTATTTAAATACGGGACGACAACTCGATTGAAAAATTTGTGAAAAGTTTTTTCATTGATTATTTATTGAATTGTATCAAATACATTAAAACACGATTTATCGGAAATTGTAGACATCAGTGACGTATATAGAACATTATTTAAAGGTACTTAGAAATTTTCATGTTGATGTACATTCGCAATTTAATAATGTATGGTTTTATAGAACAATACATTTATATTATTGTATGTGTCTTATATTTCATCTTTTGCTAGGTACACCTATCCCTGAAGGATTGCATGTACGAATCAATTTTGACATTGGAGTCACAGAAGCCAAATTGATGGACAGCGATGAAACAGAGGAAAAGGAGTCTAGTGAAAATTTGAATTCTCATTCCAATTCTTTGACGTTGCACCCTGAAAAAGCAGTACCTGAAGATGAAGAGCAATCAGTTGTTCCAGAAAAATCAAATTTGTTTGATTACCAATTGGAAGAACTGAAGGCAAGACTGAAGAAGATTAAGCAGGATGAAGCAGAATCGCTTTCAGAATCAAATGTAATTGCTCTTTACCCTCGTATGATAAGCATCGTATAAAAAACATTTTTCTCTTATCGCGTGTATATTTTTAGGAAGAGCATACCAAAAAGGTGAAGCAAATGTTTCGGGACTATAAGACCTTGAAGAAAGAACTGAAAGATTTAGAAGTTAATATTACAACTGATTCAGAATTGCTGAGTAGTTACTTTCAGAAGTTTCAACCTCATAAAAATGCAATCACCATGGGAACATTAATGCCTTTGGAAATAGAAGAAGTATTAGATATACTTCAGAATTTAGAATATCTACTTCATCATATTGACAATGCTATAGTTTTTGCAGATATGCAAGGGTATGTATAAAAATAATTTTCTTCTGTTTGAAAGATCATCATACAAACAATTGAAATATATTTTTTCAATTTTAGTATGACTAAAGTTATATCTCCATGTCTGAATGGTACAAACAACGAAATAAAAGCTGAAGCATTAAGACTTTTGGGTGCAGCTGTTCAATCTAATCCTAAAGTTCAATTGAAAGCATTGGAAAGTGACTTTGTCCAGAAGATTTTACATATATTGTCCACGAATACTCAGACAGAAGTGAAGAGCAGATGTCTCTTCGCTCTGAGTGCCTTAATTAGACAATTTCCAGCAGCTCAGAATGTTTGGATTAATCATGGCGGATTGGAAATATTTGGAAAAATTCTGGTCAGTGATCAATTACAAATACAAATAAAAGTCATAAAACTCATCAATGATCTAATTATTGAGAGGCAAAATTTGCAAGATGTTTCTAATCCTGAGCAGTCACAACTGAAAACAAAGGCATATACGGTTGTAGATTTAGAACAAAAATTATTGGTATATGATTATTGTAAACACTTAAGTAATTTAATGATAAAAAGTTTCAAAGATGAAATGAATAATCAGTTTAAAATGAACAACTATGAGTTTCTGGAAACTATTTCCGAAAGTATGATCACCATTGTACCTGTTTGCAAATACCAATTGAAAGGTAGTAAAGACTCGTTGCTTCGCACGATACAGCATTTATTGATCTTTTATCAAAAGTTAGATCCTATTTTAGAACAAGATGATAATGAAATTTTGCAAAATCTTATTTCGTTGATTGACAAACTTCAAAATACTGTTTCCGAAATTTCCCACGACGAATTATGAGGTGGGAATGGAACAGTCGCGAGGGGGTACTTCCAGTATTTTAATTTATATTCTGAGGTTGTAATTGTACAAAATTGTATACACAACTGAAAACCTTTTTCACGTGGATATATTAAGTATCCATTGTTGTTTCATCAAGATTGTTACCAAACTTATAAACTTCATATTGTTACTCTTTCAACGATTACAGAAATGTTTAGAAGTAACCATTTCTACAGACATGATAAATTAGTCATTTGTAAATAGGTTGCTGCACACTATGATTGTCTTTTGTAACGTATGTATGCGTAATGTACCATAAAACGAATGTATGTGGATCGTAGTGTAATCTCTGTACATATGTAGCGTATAAGACGTATCTGAGTCATCAGTTTGTAATAACAGCGAACAGTTGTTACGTTTCTTGCGTTCTAAAAAGTGATTCTTTAATAAATTATTTTGTATTGTTCAGATGTTTTGTTTTTTTTCCTTCAATCTAAAAATAAAAATGGTATTGAGACATAAAGAATTATGTTTTATAGAATAACATATTTTATTCACAAATTATAATGATTACATATGAATAATCTGTTCGTTTAGTCATAATTCATAGAAAATATATCGGCCAAGTCATTGACTGAACCAGTTTTGTAAGATTAGGATTTCTATGTACATGTGATAAAAAAACCAGTCATGTACCAAGTGTTTTACTTTTTATAGGGTAGGAATGCCTTGTTATGTTTTAAGTACAAGGATTG